TTCCAGTATCTGAGTAACTATTTTCTTGAAAAATATGACCATTGCTGACCACATTCACCTCTGCATTTTTATTTTTACCAAGAATCTAATCAGTAACTTTAGGCCTAGTGTCAACTAATAACTTAAAAATGCACTTAATTTTTTATTTTTGCCTGAAAATGTGGTTGAACTTCTCATCCACGATTTCCTATCCCTTGCAAGCAAGGTATCACAGAAACAAAAATTAGCAACTCATCTTACAGCTAACAGAATCACAGCATTGAAGTATCAGTAATTTTCATCAAATTCAACCCAGGCACATTTCAATATTTTCCAGTCCCACATCTGAGTTTCTTGAACCTTTTATGAGGATAACACAAGCTTGAGAAACAAAAGTATATCCTAATAATATCAAGTAACACTGTTTTTATTGTATTTATGATGAATTATATTTAAAATGAGTAATTTCAAGGACAAATACCCTATTCTTAGATTGCCCAGTCCATGTATTTGATTAAGTTTCAAAGTTATTCACATGGAGCAGTGTTCTGTTCATTATGTTGGGCTCATTTTACAGAAGATACTAGGAATGGTGAAACGTGCAATGCAAGTAAATGCAGTGTAGCATTTACTGATCCTACAGGGAAAAGTACATCAACTGAACAATTTTAATCATTGTAAACAAAAAATACAGTAAAATTTCTCAATTAGAAAATGTCTTGATAAAATTATTTTGCCCATAGTTAAATAAGTAAATAAGTATCTCAATCAAATGAACTATTTCTCCTCTAGCATTTTTATAATAATCACCTAAAACAGTGTTAAAGTTGCAATCCTTTAGAAGGTAAAATAAATCTAGTAGATAGTGGCCATCTTATTTATATAAAACAAAATAGAAAATATCAGAAGAGTCAAAAAGGTTAAAAACCACTGACCAAAAACTATTGAGTACCTAAAACAGTGTCTGGCACTTAAATGTTTTCCTGAGCATTAATATTTCTTTTAATTTAGCCATGTTAATAATAGTGACCAATTGCCCTAGCCGGTTTGGCTCAGTGGATAGAGTGTCAGCCTGTGGACTGAAAGGTTCCTGGTTCGATTCCCGTCAAGGGCACATGCCCAGGTTGTGGGCTCAACCCCCAGTAGGGGGTGTGCAGGAGGCAACCAATCAATGATTCTCTCATCATTGATGTTTCTATCTCTCCCTCTCCTTTCCTTTCTGAAATCAATAAAAAAATTAAAAAATAAAAATAATAGTGACCAATTATTCAAAGTCTACTATGGACTGTGCACTGTACTACCCATTTATAAACATTATCTCATCAGTTCCCAGTCACCTTGTAAGGTATTCCCATCTAACAGAAGAAACGAAAGCTAAATAACTTGCCCAAGGATACATAAAGTGGTAGAAGATTTGAACTTGGTTAGTCAACAAAACCCATACCTTTCTATTATAGTGCTTTCCTTTATAATCTTCTCCAAATATAAATTTGCAATAAAATTTCCATGATGGAAATAAATTTTCTCATTAGTTGCCCATGGCCTAAACAGAACCATAATCTGTGTTGTTTATCCAATATGTTCAAATTATAAGTTCACATAAAATATTTTCCATTTATATACTACTTCACAGAATCTTTTTATATTCAAAAAAGGAGTCATTTCTGATAGCCAAACATGTGTAACTATATGAAAACAGTATTTCAGTTCAACAAATAGAAAAACCTCCAATTAAAGCAAAAAAAAGAAAGAAAGAAAAGAAAAATTGAACCATGCGAAATCATTTTTAGGCTGGTTATAACACTGAGCTGAAACCTTAAATTTCAAAACCAAATTATTCCTTAGCCAGATGAGGAAACCTTAAAGTAAGTAGTGATGAAAATATCAGATTCAACTACTGTATATGGAACTGTCATCAAATATCAATTCACATGAATCACCCAATGCTTGAAGGTTCCCTTGAACCTTCCCTTCAAGGTTCCCTGAGTTGCTTGGAACAAAGGTTCAGCAGAATGTTAAAAAGATTCATGTTAAAATGTATTGTCAAGTTTGAGAATAGTGGGTTAAACAAAGTTAGAACTGGTCTTTCTACCTGGGGATGCCTGAGCCCTTAATATGTACATATGAATAATGAATCTCCAAAAGAAGGATTCATTATCCTAATGAAGATAAGGTGTACAGAGATTAAGTGACTTATCCAAGGTCACACGACTAGCTAATGGCAAATTTAGAACCTAATTCTCCAGATTCCCACTCCAAAATTCATTCTACCTCCGCGAGACTTCATCATACCTAATATTTAAAAAACCTTTCCAAAGGTCACTTTAAAAAAAAAAGTTTTTATTGATTTTTAGAGAGGGAGAAGGAAAGGTAGAAACACTGATGAGAGAGAAACATCATGGAATGGCTGCCTCCTGCATGCCCCCCACTTTGGGGATCGAGCCCCCAACCCTGACCAGGAATTGAACTGGTGACCTCTTGGTTCATGAGTCAATGCTCAACCACTGAGCCACACCAGCAGGGCCCAAGGATCACTTTTATAAAAATGTAAGATGACAAACAATAGTGGCTTATCCTGAAAGTATTTACCACAACCCCACCAAAACAAGTAACCAAAAAACAAAGGTAAGTAGCAAAGAATTTTTATAAAACAACAAAAGCCTCTCCTCCTCACAGTAAACTGGGACATGGTATTTACAGATTATACACACTAGTGGTATCCAAAACATATATTCTTATAAAAATATTTCCTCTAGAAAATAAGAGATATAATATTTTCTAATCAGTACCTAGATGGAACTAAGAGAATGGCAAAAATGACAACCTAGATTGTGAGGTACATCAGAGCAGCAACCATGTCTATTTTGCTCACCAATATACCAGAGCTGGATATATAGTAGGTACTCTATACATACATATTTGCTGAAAGAATGAACAATAAATCCCTGCTCTACCATTAATTAGCTGTAGGATATTGATCAAGGTATAATCTCTCTGAATCTGAGTTTCCCCATTTGCAAATAAAGCTGTTAGACCAAAATGATCAATATCTCTTCTATCTTTAAGAATTCATGAATCTTAAACAAATAAAATCTCAAATCCCCAGCATTTGAGGATATGTCCACAATCAAAAATTTTAACAAAAAGTAACATTTGCAGGTCACTTCACATTCATTACTTCATTCATTACACCCAATAAACCTGCAAATTAGAGCAATATTACTATCTATATTTTACAGGTAAAGAAACTGAGGGCCAGAAAAATTGACTGACTAGACCAGAAATACAAAGTGAAATATGGAGTTTAAACCCAGGATTTTAGGATTGAAATCTCCAATTCTTTCCATTACATCTCTAGTGATAGGGACAGAAACACAGCGTAGATGACAACTGCATTATTTCCTGACTTTCAGCTACTAATATAACAGGGTTACAGGACAAAAGGTCTCCCAATTCTCTCATCATCCCATCTTCCCAATGTTAAAGCTTCAACTCTTCTGTGAAGAAAAATGACTTTAAATGCAACAAATTAATCACATTTTTCTCCTTGGAGCCTAAGTTAACTAATATCACTATTATAAAAGAGAATGACATTATTAAATAATGAAAAGAATCTAAATTATGAATCAAAATCTTTCACATCAAAAGATAGTTTTAGTTCAAATAATATGTATTTACAGTCAAGTACTGTTAAATTCAAAGACCACCTTATACCATTATTATGCTACATTTAAAATGAAAACTCCACTTCTGGAAACTTTGTTTGCTAGTGGAAATGAGGCTATTTAAACCACTAATTCTTAGGTCTTGTTACAATATTACCATACTTCAAAATAATACTTCAAGTGCAACATCTCTTAATTCCAATAATGATAGGCTCAAACTTGGTGTTAAAATAAACAAATGGCATTAACATCATACCCTTCCCCTCCAAAAAATACAATTGGGCAACCAGAAGCATGTTGGCTTATGGATTTAAATGTCCCCTTTAACTTATCAGCAGACTCCCATATTTATTAACATTATTAACTTTCTGTCTTAAAATATATAGACATATGCGATGATTAATATAATTGTTTCTCACAGCTATGGCAAAACCCCCTTTCAACAGAGAATATACTATACTAAAATAAACACATTTATTAAAACAAAACCCCCTTTCAACAGGGAGTATACTATACTAAAATAAGCACATTTATTAAACCTCTCTGGTACCTAACACCACATTAAATCCACTGCCAAGAAAATTAAATGAGCATTATCTTTCTGGGGTTTGCATGTGGAAACAGTTTGGAATATGCTTAGTGGGTCCTAATTATTAAATATAAGTCGCTATAAGTATAAGTAAATATAAATAAATACAATAATCCTGCAGAAGAGTAAAGAAAAGAATTTTCTCCAAAAAAAAAAAGGAAAGAAAAAAAGAAAGAGAAAAAAGGTCACTCACACTCATCCGAAATATATACACGCAGAAAGGGCACACCTGGCTCATTTATATCACAAGATCGTTTAGTTACTATATCGTGTTCTCTAAACTTCAGTCCGTTCTGGAGGTTTAACAGAAGTTTAGTTTTGTTTTGTTTTTAAATTAACAGCTAAAAATCTCCACTGACTCAAGAGGTCTCATGCCTGAAAAGAAATGACCATGAACACGAGTGAGAATTTTGACAATACCCAAAGCTACTACGAGCCCCTCGCATCAATGAGGACTTGGATTCCTCTGCTGGTAAATACTCAGGAGCATCAGACGCATCACCACCCTCCACACTGCTAAGTTCGAGAGGAGCCGTGGAAATCTTCCCGGCCAGTCTAACCCAGTGAACTGTCACAAAATAAAAGTCGCGGCATATGTGACAGAGCCACCGAATGCACGCGGTTCTCAGAGCCAAGGATCCAGACTCGGCTCGGCTCGTCACCCAACTGCCCCGCCGTCCCCTGGGGAGCGCACGCAGCAAGGGATACTGAGGTCCCGGACCCAGGCTCCTTCCCGCACCAGGATGACTTTCCCGGTTCGTGCCCACCGCACACTTGCAAGCTCCGAAAATAGCGGCCGGTCGCGAACACCGGGGAGTGCAGGGGCAGCGTTCCCGGTTCATTGTGGGCTGAAGCCCAGGGGACTCCCGGGGCCGAACCGCTCGCCCTATAACCTCGGAGCCCCTTTCCAACTGCGCTCTCACCCGGGATCATCCTATACCCAACGGAAGCCACGGATGAGCTGCAACAAGGCCTGGAGAAATAGTCAGAGGGGCCCTAAAAGTTCACGGGAAAGTGGGGGCTCCGCGGGAGGAGACCCACCTTAAAGCATCTTGGGCTCCAATACTCTCAAAGCCAAAATACATGCACAGACCCTCCTCCCTCCCTGAGGACTCCAGGCAGACGGAGACGCGCCGACCCTCAGCCACGCCGACAGCGCGGGGCTGCAGGGGTTCCCTCCTCCCAGCAGCCGGGC